TTTTTCGTGTCACAGAATATTTTTTCAACACCGATCACAATGGACGTCGCAGGCTTTTAGGCGTCGCGCTGAATTTCTAGAATAAAAGCATAGAATGGCCATCAGCTTTCTCTGATTGGTTAGTACAATAGGCATTAAAAACCGGTGTTCATATTTAAAGTATTTAATGTCTATATTATCAATTTAGCAAAAAATAAATCTAATTTAATAGTGTCATTATTCAGCTACCCAGATCGCCGTTACAGTAGTCACGTGGTACATGATACTTTTCTCCGCGCTGATTACAATTTGCCAATTGCCTCTGTTTGTGGTGACCTGACAAGGCGTTTTATGTAATACATTCTCAAAGATGGCTGAGGCGGATATATAATTTATATAAGATTATAATGCATTTAAATGAGTACATTTAAACTATTGTGCATAGTATACAAATGACGATATGTGCGATATAAACATAGTGAGATTTTCCTAGAGTAACAATGATTTTCATTGGCTGACGACATTTGCTATGCTGTGTATTGCATCGTTACCTCCTGTGGTTACTTGGGATATGGCGGCGCTGGTTAGAGGACTGAGAGCTGGAAGGGTCTTGCGGGGTCTCGGCAGCGGTAAGCGCGGGATCGTGAGAGGGCGTCTGGCGTTAGCATTTCAGTCCACAGTATTTGTGTTTAAAAAGTTGACAAACAGTAGTCACACGTGACACCTGCCGAAGGCTTTCGTATCTAGTAAATAGTTCTGCCTGCTTCAAAGAATGGCAAATGTAAGTCAGCTGGGCGACTAGAGAAGGTGACCATGGCATGAAGGGCAGGATTGCGCTTGCAAACAGAAAGTGCATATTACACTCCATAACATTTGAAGATTGTGTGGTTCAGCCTGATGGCATATTGAAGTAATGGTTAACTTGAAACCATGCTGGTTGAATACAGTTGCTCTGCAGAAAGCATAGCTTTATGTTTAAAGCGGAGATTCTGTCCTTTGCAAAGTAGGGAATAAATGCATGCTAAATTTCCAATTAACTCTTTGTTTGTGACTGTTTCACT